TGCGAATAGTTAAAATGGTTCAATTATAAATCATATTATATAAAATTAATCTATTCTAAAGTTTTTTATTATACTTTATAAGATATTTTTTTTTATATTGATAATTTTTTTTTTTTTTTTTATATTCTACTTCCAGGTCTTTTCAAGTATGTGACTTTCCTATTGGAGTTATTATAGATTAAGTTTCATAGAGTATACATATATATTTTATGGAAATGTCATACAATTGCATCACGCTATAAGAATAGTATGTATATACATATAAGCTAAAATCGTATATTTGATAATGTAAAAATATAATAATATTATATATATAAAATTAATAAATTATATACTATATTATAAAATATATTATATTAACTAATCATAATATATGTCGTTCAATAGGTAAAAACTGGTCAATTAGCAATCACTCGTTTAAAATTAAGTCGTTTCTAAAGTTTTCTATTATACGTTTAAAGATATTTTTTTTATTTGATAATTTTTTTTTTTTTTTTTTATTCGCCGGTACTCTCCCGGCCCGGGTCTTTTCCAAGTAGTGGTGACCCGGCCTTGGCTCCCTATCTGGGGAGTGTCTAGAGACTTAAGTCTCTCATGGGAGGAGGTACAAGTACCCCCTCATCTTTGGGACCAACTGTCCCCAGGCCTAGCCACATTCCCCGCCCTCACGGGGCTCGTAGGGAGAAGCTAGGCCTCTGGTCTACCATCTACCCCGCCCTAAAAGGGCTCGTGGGGATATTTGATAATGTAAAAATTAATAATTTTGTATCAAAAGAACCTTAGAAAATTTACCTAACCTTATTATAACAAGCGCAATTTAATTTAACCTAATCCAACTAAATATATTTTAGATAAGTTTACAATAATTTAATAAACACAACGAAATATATTTCTTTCGTTAGGTTCAAAATGATTTTTGCGAAATTACTGCATACACAAATTTTAGCTTGCCTTATTCGGCAAGAAGAGCATTGCTATTTAAACCAAAATCGCAAGTTTTACCTATTCGGCACGACATATATATAATGTATTGTGCTTGTCGATAATATGTCAAGGCGTTGCTTACTTTGTCGTACTATTTTCTAAAGTTATTATTTAAACAAAATTGTTCAAATAATGCAAGTTAGATCATCTAAACAGTAACAGATTTAGACAATATATCGCACTGCAAAAAAAAATTTAGGTTTCTCAGGATATCTTCTCAATTCAGAGTTATTGAATTAAATCTCCAGTTAAAATCATTTGTTTAATTCAGGGGGCTTAACGTTAAATCAAATAAGTTTATCCACTTGTAAATTTCACCCTTTGCATATATTTTATTTCTGTCTTGCTCTTTGATCTCATGATTGATTCCTCGTCAAACACCAGACAGGAACTCGACTCTGCCCAACACCAAGTTCTGAATGACGAGTTTTTTATTCGAGACGAGACGTGTTGGAGATGAAACACACTGCCCAGCTTCATCACACAATTCAGAGAGAGGCTGCATATTTAGATGCAGTGAAATGTTTTAGGATTATGAAATAGAAGGCTGAGGAGTTTTGATGTTACGGTGGAGCGAGTCTGCGCTGTTGGGCAGATGGGATGGTTGTAAACAGTCGTACATGGCCAGGCTGGCTGTGGAAACGGTCATATCTGGTTTCAGTTTAACACCTCTAATAAACCTCTCGTCGTAAATACCCCCCCAGCCTCCCTGATTGTAATTCCCAGGTTATGATTTGACACAACTACACAGAGATATGTTCTCCCAATGAATTTTTTTTTCTGTCACCTGTTTTTTTTTTTTTTTTTTTTTTTTTTTTTTGCGTTGTCGGTAGTACATAGTTCGAATCCATCCCAGGATAGCAACAGTTAACGTAGTTAACATAGCTAACATAGTTAGCTATGTTTGGCAGCATCAGCAATAAATATCCCATCCCCTATACATCTCTTCTTACATGCAAACCATCCATTTTTCCATATTTACAGGCCTTTTTTCCCCACTCATTCCTCCTTCCTAACTCTTCACTGCTTCCCTACATTTCCTTCCTGCCTTTATTCTTCCCATTCCCTCATTCCTTTTCCCAAACTATTCTTATTAACCCACCTTCGCTTTCCCATTCTCTACGATTTCCCCCTCTTCCACAACCCTCCTCTTCTCCAATGCCTTCTTCTCACCGTCCATACAAACTTTGAAGCTGAAAAGAATCTTCTGAAGAGATGTCAGGAAATAGTACCTCACTACAGGATGGTACGACCTGCAAGCAAATGTAGTGGAACTGAATTCTCTAAGTAGTTTCAGATAGTCACAAGAGGGCAGTAATGTGCAAAGCTGCTTGATAGTGACTTAAAGAAAAGCCGAGACTCGACTATAGCGGGTACAAACACAGACACTGGCAATACAGGCACTGTAGATTTCCATAAACAAGGAGAAGGAAATCAAAGAAAGGAAGGAAAGAGAAATGTGGCATAGTCACACAAAGTAGGTACATAAATTTAGCGAAATAAAAGAAATCGAAAATAAAGAAATATGATCAGCGAGAGATGGTTGTTGCTTGGAATAGAAAACACATTCCAGAAGGTTGCAAAGAGAGTTAAGGAGATAATCAGGATAATTAGAGAGGAGGCAGGAAAGAGGGAGGCTATCTTAATTGGAGATATAGCGGTAATTACCGAGGAGACAGGGAGGAGGGAGAATTACATGGCACAAGAAGTAAGCTATTAAGTATAACGTGCAAAGGTTGAAGGAGAGAGGTGAAGGGATAGGAAGTAGAGGGACCAGAAAGCTATATGCTCAGCAGATCTAGATAAAAAATGATAACATAGTAGGTGGTATTTTATTTATCGTGAGAATTGTGATAATTTCTCCTGATGTTAGTCTGCCGTACTACTCAGTGGGGCTTTTGGTCATTTGACCGAGACCGTATGATGGCTCTCTGCTTCTTCCCGTTAAAAACAATAACATAAAGACGTGATGGCAGAATTTCCGCTCTGTATAAAAAAATATAAATCACCACAGTAGTACAGAAGGATTTTTTTTAGATACACAAGAGAAACTTTAACCTTCGGCTGGGAAGAAGACAAAAGAATGACGAGGGGGAGAAACCTAGCAACTTGATGAAGCTCTACACAAAGCGAAACATTGCCTCCTGAAAGTTTGACCTATAGCGTGTCTTTCTTCACTGGCACGAGGAGCTTAATGTTTACAAGGAAGCTGGCATACGTGCCGAGACTCGAATGCTGAAGTGTATATGTGGATCGTATGTCCCGGGCTAATCTCCTTCGTGGTATCTCACTCCCATGACTCGCCCAGGCGAACCTTACCTCTTGTACGCTGCACTATAAACGACTGAGGGAAATTCTCGTTACAAAGAATGTCTAAACATTTGCTCCATGGAGCTAAGGTTTATGATGAAGCATTTTCTCTTTTTTATACAATTCAGTGCCAATGATAAAATCTGTTACCCTACTTGCTCACTTGAAAGCCCAGGATGCCAACTGTATTGTTTGACTAATTACTTAGTAATTATGGTAGCATTTGCAAGGGAAGTTGCCATACGTTTAACCAAATTTGGAGGTTTACCAGAGACCTTTTGTTGGCGAACTGTGCACTCTAAAACTGAGCCATACGGTCATTTGGTGATCTTATTAGACAGACTCGCCCAATTCAGAATCAAATGGCTTCTTGCCAACAGTAGTGACGACAAAGACGCACGACTTCGTGGGCAACGTTTCGCTCTGCACAGAGCGAAACGTTATCCATATAAAGCTTATATTGCAAGGTATCTTTACAGAGGTAAATAACTCGTGTAGTACTCAGTACAGTTGCTCACCCACGTAACTGTTATTCACAAGTTCTGGAGTTTACTTCAGGTTATCTACATAGAGAAGGTGTGTATCCGAGTACAAATATTTAATCCATAGCAGATGGGAAACTTTTGAAATCTTCAGGTCTTTCCCTCCCGCTGTGAATTAACTCTTCAGTCATCCTTGATCTCTAAAATTGGGATTAAATGTTAAGTGTCCTAGACTGGTGGTGTAATGATTGTTAGCAGCTTAAATAACCTTCATGTAATCGACAGGCTTTGAACCTAATAAGTCCATCATTACGTAAAAGGCTTCCTCAACTTCTCTGCGCATGAGGAAAGAGACTATCAGGTTTGATCCAGGGAAAGAGGGTAGCAGTTCTAGTTCCTTGGATCAGGGGCATCGAAGACAACAAAATCCTCATTTTCCGCCCTGTGTTTCTTCGAAAGATTTCTTCATTTAACAAACTTTTCTTTTTCTCTTAGGAGCCAAGTAGGTGTAAGTGTACCGGCGTGGGAATTTGCTTTATAAAGGCCAGATATCCCCTCGGATAATGAACTTTCATCACGGTTATCCTTAGAGCTCCGGGGGATTAGGGTTAGGCCCAAATTTTTGGGTTCTCTTTTCAACTTTAGCCAAGCGTACAAATTCTTGAAAAAACATGTCCATATATTTTCTTTAGGGGGAAAATACATGTATCCCCGACCTCATGAACGTAGACCCGAGGTGAAGGCTGTATATATATATATATATTTATATATTGAGCTCTCTATTGGATATATTTCACCCGAGAGAAATACTGAAGTGAAAATCCTTGAAACGGAAAATAGCTAAAAGAATGTGAGAGATAGGCAGAGGCAGGAGAAACTCTTGGTGTCTAGTGGAGAATTTATAGCATGGGGAGGTAATGGTTGGTTGGCTCTCGTGTGTGTGTGTGTGTGTGTGTGTGTGTGTGTGTGTGTGTGTGGGGTGTGTGTGTTACAGGAACTTGTGGTGTCTCGTCTTCAGAAATATTTTAGTCATGTCTTTTTAAAACTTGCAATGGACGCAGCACCAAAGCACCTACCGTTTTCTTTTTTAATTCATTCCATTGGTCTTCTACTTCGTGAAGAAAAAGGTTCTTATTCCTTCGGCTTCACTTTTCTCAGTTTACTACTGTGGTCTCTCATCGTCAGTGTGTGTATCTGTCCGTATTAGTGTGCGTGCGTTGAGCGATGCGACTGATGAATCCAAGTACGTCCTTGTCAATCTTCGTCTTCGACTTGGAGAATGAACTCCTTGCTAACATGTAAGTGTGGCTGTGACGACTAGGCCGGACCTCATGTAACCAGGACTGGTCTAGTCCTAGCGACCAGATCCGGCATGGTCGGCAAGATTCCAGTGAGTAGCAATGACGGTTAAGACTAAGTGGTGTGCAGCAGGTCACATCGATTCCCAATGCGCAAAATATTTTCTGGCAACAGGCTCGGCTACATTGCAGAAACCATTTTTCTGGTTGAAGTTATTGGAGACACTAAAGGGTACACTCCCAATGAATCATCTTAGTGTTTCCCTCCTGACAGCTGGTAGAGCACCAGTATAATTTATCAGGTGATTGTGGGAGTTAAGGTGTATTAGGCGGTCGTTAACGTTGGGTAGCATTGGAAAGAGGTTGAGCAAATATTTTTGTTTGTGGGTTTGAGTTTGAGATGAACCCGCCTATTATCGGCCAGTAGGCCTGCTGCAGTGTTCCTCCTTATGTGTGTTGTGCTGGTGTATTAATGGAGGCCTCTGGATGCTTTATGACTGCAGATTTTGTCAAAATACTTACATGAGATACTGTACTCTCCTGCAGAAGTTATGGTGGTGGTGTTTGGTCATGTCTCTGATGGTATAGGCAATGGTGAATATATTAAGTTTGTCGTCGGAGATGATCTTGGGGATGTGTCTGGCAATAAAATTGTTGGAGAGGATTACGTATCTCTTCCGTGGTATTAGGCCTGGGCGAATTGATGTTACAGACACGTTGTCTGCAGTCCCCGATGAAATCTTAAGGATAGTGCAATTAGGTGGAAAGTTGTTTAAAGAGCATTCTTAGAGAAATTCACTAATGCAGATGCATAGATGCAAGATTTTCAGTGTAAAACTTGTAAGCAATTAAGTGTACTGCTGATTTCCGTCTAAAGTGTCATTTGTATTTAGGGTTCAATTTGCTTGAATTTATTTTGGTGGGCAGAGGCGTCAGACCTTCTTTGTGTAATGATGAGTAAGTCTTCCACACAGCGAAGACAAGTTACAGGAGAGAGAATGACGAGGGAGGAAAAACTTTGAAGACTGAAAATGTTCCACATAAAGGTTCGCTAAGACTGCACTTACAGGGTAACCCTCAAGTCAACCGAAGGTCCCATAAGAGTCTTCGAAGGAGAAACAAATGAAATTTACGCAGAGTTCAGCGAGGTCTAGAAGTCGCTGACTACCGTCTCCGTTGTAGAAGATCAATGACCTGTGAAGCGAGTACCTGTGTGAAGATCAAGGTCGCGGAAAGCATGTTGCTAATGTGATTAAGGTCTCTTGAGTATCTGAGACCTTTGAGATGCTTTCCTGTCATTGGCAAACGAGTACTCCAGGAACCTACAGGGAATCTCGTAACTAATGGACTAATTAGGTATCTCAGGAAAGGATCCCTAAAAAGGCCATTTTTATTCTTATATACTATATTCAGAGATATTATTTTCTCAATTTTTCTAGCGTTTTATTTATCAAAAAAATGTTTTGAACAGGTGTGCTATGTTCATATTCTTTGGTACAAATCCGTTACGTTTTTTTTACACCAGTTTTGTATTTATCTTGGAAAATGGCGCCATAATTGTGTTCACTGCAGTCCTCTCTAATCTCATATCTCTGTATTAAAGTATTGCTTTTTAAAATGAACATAATTAAAACGATATTTAAGGGAGATATGACCTAAAAGCAAATGGAAAGAGTCAAACCGACCATGGGAATTTTCTGAAAAATTGCATCATTTTTCACTATTTCTCACCCCTCGCCATCTCTTGCATGTGTTTTATTGTCAACATGGGAGTTTTTACTCGGCAATGACGTGTGTGTGTGTGTGTGTGTGTGTGTGTGTGTGTGTGTGTCGTGCCGAATAGGTAAAATTGGTCAATTAGCAAGAACTCATTTAAAATTGTCCATTCTAAAAATTTTTCTTATACGTTTAAAGATGTATTTTTTTATTCATGTTAATGTACCAAAAGAAGCTTAGAAAACTTACCTAACCTTATTATAACAAGCGCAATTTAATTTAGCCTAATCCAACTAAATATATTTTAGATAAGTTTACAGTAATTTAATAATAAATAAACACAATGAAAAATATTTTTTTTCGTTAAGCTTTGAATGAATTTTGCGAAATTATAGCATACACAAATTTTCCCTTGCCTTATTCGGCAAGAAGAGCGTTGCTATTAAACCCATAACTCGCAAGTTTTACCTGTTCGGCACATATATATAATATATATATATATATATATATATATATATATATATATATATATATATATATATATATATATATATAATTATTATTAATAAATTACCAATATTTAGTACGTACCTGTTGCGAGATTCCCTGCAGGTTTCCCCAATAGTCGTTTGTCAATGACAGGAAAGCCCTATCAACTTTTATTCAGTTTTTCCCTGGTGATCAATGGGCAACTTGCCTGCTGCTGCTGTGTTCATGCCTCAGTTATAGTAGCTGGACGGAGGGGGTCTCTCTCCCTCACCTTTCCATAAAATTTAATGGTGAAAGAAGCCAAACAGTTACTTAATTCTACCCTATGTGAGGTTTGGTGATCAATGATGTGGTAACTGGTGAAATAGTTCTGGGTAGGTTGGTATATATATGATTATTATGTAAGATACTAGAATAATAGCATATGTGTGGAGAATTCACAATGATTTATTACTCGACTAAGAAAAATGGCAGTACAAATAAATCCAGATAATAAGTACTTAAATTGGTTTCTCGTTCTTCAGTGAACGTCTTTCATGTTCCTCGCGACGCCCTAACAGACCCATTGTGCATCAAGGTCCCTTTCAACCACCTCGAACAGTCTTGAGTAGTCTTCTTGACTCTGTGTTGAGTAAAAATGACACAAGTGCAACTAATGAGACACTTTACTGTGGCAACATTTCGCCACAATAAAATATCTCATTAGTTGCACTTCTGTCCTTTTACCTAACATTGTCGATAATTCGACCAACATTATTACAATTTCTTGACTTTAGCTTGACCTCTGGTTATCAGAGGCGAAGCTCCACTTCAGCACAACATTTCCTTCAATGAGATTCTAAACTAAAGGTTCTGAACCACAGAAATTCCGACCATAAACGTTGCTTCCTCACAACCTAATTTCAGGTAATTCACCCAACCCTACCCATACAATTATTAATAGCTAACTCTCATTTTCTATGATATTTTTAACAGTCCGGGAATATTATTGAATCATTAACCGTGACACCTGAGCTCTTGTTTACCATGAAATTACCTAAACTAGTCCTCCAGGATACCAGCTATCTGAGAAGGGCCGACTACGATATTCGCAAACCAACTTTTCCTGGGGTGAAGTCTTATTAGGAAGGAGTGATCAGCCGCTGTAAACACCCTCTCAGGCTAGTAGAACCTTTGTAGGAATTGTAAAAATCTGTTAGCCAAATCAAAGATTACTGAACTAATTTGACACTTATCCACCATATCCATCACAAGTTCTCCCATTACATACTGACTTTGATTTCTTTCTCTACCGCGATTCTAAGCTTTAAACTATTCTGGCAATGATAGAGTTTTCGCTTATGGTGGGAGTTCCCTGACGCTGGTTAAGGGCTCCTGATCGAATGAATTTGAGCTACCCTCTCCATATTAGGATAAAAATTGATTACCCCCGCCTCACCCAGTCCTCAAGTTCTGTATGACCTTCACTAATTCAGCTCTTACCCTCGATTATATTAATGATGAACCCTGTTGCTAGAAGAGTTTTCACACCTTTGTGTTCCCCGTTGACAATTAAAATCTTTATAGGATGTATGATTATTTGTACGAGGCGCTAAACCTGTGTTGTCATTCAGCGCAGAGTAGTGGAGGCTCGATTCTTCGTTCATTAAGCGTTAGGAAGAAATTAAATTCACAGCCGCATTTTTTCCCCTTTAATCAAAGGAATTGGTGATTCCCAGTGTCGTGAATGTAACAGGCTGTGTGTGTGGAGGAGAAAGAAAGAGGAAGGAGAGGAAGGAAGAGGGGAGGGGAAAGGAAAGAGAGAGATGGTAGGGGGTGGAGGCGGTTGAGGAATCTCCAGGACCGAATCCATGACCTGTCTAATGCCACGCTCAGGACGTGACCCCTCATATAGAGTATTTATTAAGATAACGTTTCGTGTTGTGTACAGATTTTATCAAGCCATGATAACACTCGACTCAAGAGCGAAATGTTGTACTAACAAAAGCTTGTTCAGCAGCGTGTCTTATCTTCCCAACACTTGCTTGTGATTGGTGGGGGAAGGTGTAACCTGTCCTTTTCAAGGGTGACAGCTTTATTGAGGGATAAAAAGAAATAAATTCTCCAGTGCTGCAAAAGAAAAAAAGGAGAGAGGAAAAACAGTGCTCAAGTGACAACAGCAGCAGCACCCGCATCCGTATCCGCAGCCGCAGCAGTAGCAGCAGCAGCAGCAGCAGCAGCAGTAGTAGTAGTAGTAGTAGTAGTAGTAGTAGCAGCAGCAGCAGCAGCAGCAGCAGCAGCAGCAGCAATAGTAGTAGTAGCAGCAGCAATAATAGTAGTAGTAGTAGCAGCAGCAATAATAGTAGTAGTAGTAGTAGCAGCAGCAATAGTAGTAGTAGTAGTAGCAGCAGCAATAGTAGTAGTAGTAGTAGCAGCAGCAATAGTAGTAGTAGTAGTAGCAGCAGCAATAGTAGTAGTAGTAGTAGCAGCAGCAATAGTAGTAGTAGCAGCAATAGTAGTAGTAGCAGCAATAATAGTAGCAGCAGCAATAGTAGTAATAGTAAAAAATAACATCAGTCCTAACATGAGAAGCCCAAGTATTCATTTGTTTTACGTATGTTGTGTGACGAGAAGGATAAGATCTTCAACATTATAGAATCTAATATGCTTCAGGATGATATTATTTCCAGTGCTATTTTTTTACGAATACTAGTCATATATAACCGAGACTATTACAATGTATATACAAAAATTTTAAACGTAAAACTGAGGCCTATAGATGCATATGAACACTTTAAGCATGCAACTGGAACTAGTGAAATTTCAGCCTAACTACACAGGATTTGCTGCTTTTGGATAATATTTCGGGAATCATTTTCAGGAATACTTCAGCAGGCAAGGATAAAGTAGATAACGTTAATGGATGATCAATTAGTTAGGCTAGAATGCACTGTGTTTATGGCGGAGTGCTCACTCACGGGATGAGTGCCACTGTCCAATAAATTGGCCCCGCGGGAAAAAATTACTAATTTATCAGAGTAGAATTTGTTACAATCGATCAGCCGGGGAGGGCGAGCGCTCAGCTGGACTGAGATTTAACAAATGTAATCCGTAGCTGTGATTGGAGTTGTTTTTTGTTACTTTTTATATATATATAAATATATGATCTTGCATCAGTTTAAAAATGCAGGTTAGCTGAAGTTTCATCATGGGGAAGTGGTAAATCCGCTCGGGTGACCAAGCGTCTAGAGAGACTCAGGTTTAATAAAAGCAGGGAAAGGGTGCCTTAAATTCCCTCTTGAAGGGATTAAATATTAGGGAAATACATGGAGCAAAAGAAATGACCGAAACTTGTGATTAAGCGAAGTGAGCCCCAGTACTGTACTTCCAGGGGCGTTCAGTTCCAGTACTGGCAGGGGTGTTCAACATGTGAACCAAGCAAACCTTAGGCACAGCGTTCAACGTGCGTTTTTTTCCGCTGACCAAATTCAGCCAACTTGACGGTGGGGAGCTGCCCCACCGTCGTTCCCTTCATTACTGTTGTTCTGACTGACTCGTACAACTAAATAATGCACGATAATTCTTAGAAGTAGATAGATTTTCTCAGCGGATAACCAAGATATGGACATCTGCTTCTGCTCTGTCTTTCCCATGAACTGTTCGATAGCCAATTTACTGGAAAAAAAATATGAAGATGGACGTTATAATAACCTATGTGATTTGTCAAAATATCTAATGAATGAGAATTAAAATACTAGACATTTTAAGCAAATATCCTAAATTTGTTTGCAACAGATGAAAGAAAAATTGTAAATACATATTCAGATGTGATGGAGGATGATCAAGGTAACACTTAAAAAAAAAATTCAGGGCAAATGGTTAGCCGGACGTGAGTCCTGGAGGTGGGAAGTACATTACCTGCACTCTGAACGAGGGGTGGGCAGTTTGGAGTGCCCTGAATCTGCACTCTATGAAAGGCGTAGAATTAGGGGGGATTTGACTGAGGTGTATAAATGGAAAACAGGAATAAAAAAAAGGGGATGTAAATAGCGTGCTAAAAATATCTAGCCTAGATAGGACTCGTAGCAATGGTTTTAACTTGGAAAAAATCAGATTCAAGAAGGGTATAGGAAAGCACTGGTTTGGTAATAGTTGTGGATGAATGGAACAAACTCCCGAGTACTGGCTTAAGCCGGTAGGAGACTTGGACCTGCCTCGCATGGGCCAGTAGGCCTGCTGTAGTGGATAATGAGTGTTTATTTGGAGTTGCTTCCGGAGGTCACCGCCCCCCGCGGCCCGGTCCCGGACCAGGTCTCCACAATAAAATAGCCGCTATGGTAGCCAAATCTAAACTGGAACTTCATTAAATACTTGATAACCCTCCCTGCCCCACTTTGCCTGTTAGTGAAACGTCGTAAAACGAAGGTTGTCCCCTCCTAAAGTGTTTTGAATACCCATTTGTCAGCTTGCGAATTCAAAGGTATGCCTCTGTATATATACCTCGTCGGGTATGTATATACGTAGTTAGTAGTCATCTATTCAGTTAATGAGCAAACATAATGGTGCTTAACCATTCTGACAAAGCGATGTGTACATTGCATGCAGTATTAGAGAAATTTAGCAATTTAATGGTTTCTCCATAACACATAAAAATGCAACAGCTATTTGCAGAGACAACAAACACACCATTAAAACTGTAATGACAGTTTTAATGACACTGTAATGCGCTCTCCCTCCCCTTTGCTCTTTATCAACCTAAACTCCCTTCCCCTTCCACCCCCGACATTAGGTGTGGTTTATGTAGTGGTGTGGTTTCAGTGGTTTGTGTCTAGAGGTAGGGGCCTTCTTACTGAGAGAGGTGCCACTCTCCCCACAGGGTGCTTGCCTGACTAAGAACCAAGCATATCTTTCATACATGAATTATGGGGATATTTGCCCCTTTCGTGAAAATTTGCAGACACGGCTGATAAGAGGTTGGGGTGGATTGTAAGTACATATTGTGGAATATGAAGAAATGACTTTGAATAGTTTTACTATGCTATATAAGAATCAGTAAACAAACCATACCACGGGTGGAGATAGAACCCGCGGTCAGTGTGTCATAAAACTCCAGACCGACTCGCTAGCCACTGGGCCGGCTAGCCACAATAAAATTCATCGAACTAGGTATATTTATACACCATAGGAAGATTAGCATAGATACCACTGTAACCGCAAATGCTATCGCGTGGTTCTTGAATTTTATGACTCTCTGACCGCGGGTTCTATCCCCGCCCGTGGTATGCTGTGTTTCCAATCGTGTCATTACAATTTCGTGAGTCAAGAATCAGTAAGGACAGTAGGAAGTTGAGGATAGTGAAAATTTAATAATTGGAGAGACTGAATACGTTTAAAGCTCTGAATAACCAAACTGTGTTAGTAATTGTAAATAAAATAAAGCAAATACGTCCTTAAATTCCCCTTTGTGTAGGTCTGATGATACAGTTTGAGACATTGTGATGTCTCAGTCTTCACAGTAAAATTCCATAACCCACATCATGGGTCTTGTTCACAAACATAACCCTGCTATACACCTAGTTGTATTATCCTACTTGCCGGCATGAAAACATGGCACAAATTTATCATCGAAAGATGCTTCGCTGGGGTAAACCTTTATTATAGACATTTTGGTAGTGAGAAATCATGACGAAGATTTGGTGTGGTGGTTAACAGTGAGGACCGTGTTTTCACTCTCATTACTGTCGATATGAAAATAATTAACAGAACTGGCGTTAGTAGAAACACATGAATTATTGTTTTTTAATCATTTATTTTTTGAACCGCATTCAAAACAGAAAATTGACTAAAATCTCTGATCGTAGCCAACGAAGTTTGTGATTCTGTATAGTTGCCACAATTTTTGAGTTTGTTGATGTGGCAAAGGCATTCACAATGTCTCCTAGATGTAACATCTGTCAGGAACTATGTAATCCTGGGTCTTGTTCTGCTGTTTATTGAAGAGGTTAAACAGCAACACAACCCCTGCCTCTGTCGTCACTCAAAACTGCGCCTCTCTGAAAACTAAAGACTATCTCCAGAAAAATATTAATATCTAAGGCCTTGTGAAGTGTTGGTTTTCTAGCACTCAGCCGCTTAGACTTTTGGAGTTTAAAATTATACCATGTTGTTAAAAATATTTGATGACATTCTCTTCTCTTTTCTGTTATTTGTATACACGTACGCATCGTGTAACTTCTGTCTACCCACCCATCATGTTCTCTCGACACGCCTACCCATCATGTTCTCTCGACACGCCTACCCATCATGTTCTCTCGACACGCCTACCATCATGTTCTCTCGACACGCCTACCCATCATGTTCCTTACACCCACCCATCATTCTCATCCCTGATATACTTCCACACCCTTCAGTTCTTCCACTACTCTCTCCTCGCTCCCTTCCATCGCATCTACCTTCCTCTGCCTTTCTCCTTCAGCCATCATGTTCAGCCCCTTCCATCAGTGTCCACCCCGGATGCGCCATAGACTCCTTCCTACCCTTAACTATACATCTTTCCTACTCTCTGTCTAATGAAATCACCACTTTTCCTTCAATTTTAACTAAGAATCGCCACAACCCTTTCCTTAACTTTCTCTTCCTACTAGTTAAATTACAATAGTTTACTTGGTCGAGTTGCGATTGTGTATGGAGATCGCAGCCTTCACCATTAATCGTTTAGAATTGACCACTATTTACTCTTTGAAATCAAATATTTGACATATCTTCCCTCATCGTTTCCCTGCTATATTTTTTTCATGCTATTTCTTGCTTCCCTTCTTCCTGCTATCATTTCTCTTTCAAGTGCCTTTCTGTTCTATCCCCTATTAATTTTCAAGCTTCGTTTTTTTGTTTTTCCGCTTATCCACGTTTTTCCTCCCTTTCCCACATTTTTTTCCTTTTTTTTCCACTTTTCCCGATCTTTCCACCTTCCCCGCCCTCCTTTCCACATTTTCCCCTCTTTCCACATCCCCTGTTTTTCCATATTTTTCCCCTCTGCTCACGTTCTTCCCCGCTCTCCCTAGCCACATCCCCGCCCTCCCTAGCCACATCCCTACCCTCCCTAGCCACATCCCCGCCCTCCCTAGCCACATCCCTAGCCACTTCCCCGCCTCCCGGGCAACCTCACCGCACATCAAACAGAATCCTATGTTGGGTAAAAGTCATAATTCCAGGAAGTAGAGTAGCTGAAGCCTCGAATAGTGATTCAATTACTGTGAACAGGGATACAGGAAGAGCCTCTAATTTTCTGCAGAATTAGTCTATGTGGAAGACGGTCCAGGCAAGCGTGGGAGGACAGGAGGCTGAAGGTCTTTTATTATTCTTGTGTGTCTCCTGTTTTCCTCTCTTTTCTCATTCTTCTTTCTCTTCTCCGCTTCTTCCTCCTCGTTATTGGTCTTTTTTTTCAGTTTTTCAACTATTTTAGTATTGGCTTGCTTTTTCTTTTTTTTACGATTTCGTGTTCTCTTGCGCCAGATTTTTTTTTTTTTGAGTGCTGTTATCCATTTTCTCTAATTTAGTTTCTGGAAATCCCTTTTCTTTTCTCATGTATTTTTTCTAGTTTTCTTTGTTAATTTCCCCTTACAATTTTATTTTTAGTTTCTAGCTTTGATTATGTAACCTGTTGCCGTGTGGCTCTCCAAAATAATATTATATATATATATATATATATATATATATATATATATATATATATATATAATTACATTGTAACCACGGACGAGTGGTATTTAATCAATAACAACACTGCGACTAGCCGAGGATTCGAACCCATGTCGTTTTGGCTCTCCTTATGGTGAGTGATAATCACATGACGCACTAACCCACATGACCACCAAATCCTACAAAGATCGCCCACCCAGCAGAGCTAGGTGTCTTACCATGATCCGACATACGGTGGTGTGGGTGCCTCAGAGTTAATTTCATTCTACTCCCCGTTTGGTGTACTAGCCTCCACGAGCAGTAGAGGCACTGAGGCACCCACACCACCATATGTTCTCGGATCACGATAAAACGCTTAGCTCTGCTGGGGGCGTGATTCTTGTAGAATTTGGTGGTCCAGTGGGTTAGAGCGTCATGTGATTTTCGCTCACCATGAGGCGGGCCAAAACGACATGGGTTCGAATCCTCGGCTAGTCGGTGTTATTGATTAAATACCACTCGCTCGTGGTTACAATAATATAAAATACTGCTTGTGGAGGCTACTACAATAAAATGGGGGAGTAGAATGAAATTAGCTCAGAGGAACCTACACCACCGTATGTCATCGGATCAAGGTAAAACGCCTAGCTCTGCTGGGTGCTTGTTTTTTGTAAGATTGTGTGGTCCAGTGGGCTAGATCGTTGTGTGATTTTTCGCTCACCATTAGGCGGGCCAAAACGACATGGGCTCGAATTTTCGGCTAGTCGAAGTGTTATATAATTTTTACGCTCATATATTGTCGTTGAATACGACTTGAATTGAGTTTATACATACACATTTTATATTTTGCGAACGCGCACGCACACACACTCAGACACAACACACACAGGTGTGTGCTGTGTGTCAGTGTGCACGCGCTCTTAGAATAAATACAGTGAAAACACGGTCAAATGATGACCTTTTGGTTAAAATTACTTAGAGGACCTTTTCACTGTTTTCACTCTGGTTATCTTGCATAATTGATATCACCTGTTCCTGTTGTGATTGTTGTGTACTCGCCTAGTTGTGGTTGCGGTCGTCGATTCACAGCTCCTGGTCCCGCCTCTTCAACTGGCCGCTACTCAGTCACACTTCCCGCTCCATGAGCTTTATCATATCTCTTCTTAAAGCTATATATGGATCTTGCCTCCACTACATCACTACCCAGGCTATTCCACTTCCTGACAACTATGACTGAAGAAATACTTCCTAACATCCCTGTGATTCATCAGAGTCTTCAACTTCCAATTGTGACTCCTTGTTGCTGTGTCCCATCTCTGGAACATAGTGTGTGTGTGTGTGTGTGTGTGTGTGTGTGTGTGTGTGTGTGTGTGTGATTCCCCTTGGTAATTATTTTAAATATAACAACAGCACTTTTCAGATGGATCACATTTTGCTTAATTAGAAAATTTCTTCTGAAAATTGAATCCCCGACGATATCCTTATCGTCCAGCTAAGGTCTCCCAGCACTGGCTGTCAGATGGCGTTACCTCCTGATTAAAATCCATGCTTTGTGATTGCTGTATAGCAGAAAGCATAGCTAGCTTTGGTTCCCACAATAAAACTTCATACAGAATAAGGAAGTAACACTGCTAATAAATCCAATTTTGCTTTCAGATTTTGATCCGAGGAGCGAATTCGTGTTCAGCGCCGCTCGTCCCGTGAGTAAACACCACCACGTTACAGTCCATACAGTTGATACACTGCTGGTGGTGTCGCCTCCACGCTTGCCTCTTTCATTATACAGATATTCTTTACGAATTATTAAACGAAAAGAATTCCCGCTGGTCCTCTTGCTTTGGCGTCCTGGGGCTGTGACCTACATGGCCAGCACCATCTATCACCACCCGGCGTTAACATCAATAAATACCAGCGGCGTCTTTCCAAACAGCTACCACGCCTCCCTCACTTGTTTTCGTCGAGGTCCATGAAAACCTTTTGACCTCTAGGCCACAAGAAGTATGGAGAAGGGTTAGCGGGAAGTCAAAGGATGGCCAGATTATAGCCAAAATTCATAGAAGGGTAGAGGAGTGAAGGGCCAGATTACGGCTAAAGAGGTATATGTATATATCGAGGCTACCTGCTCAGATCAACTTACTTTAGATGTTTCTAAATATATCTAGGTACTTAAAGCAAGAACTGTATAGAAGATATAAAGGGAAGGGAGGAGATATAGAGGAGAGAGACAGGGACAAGAGGAGAGAGAAAAGCATGGAGAAGAGAGCGGAAGGGATGATTTGGGAGGTAGGGCCAGGAAGGGGGGGGGGACGGAAATCAGTTAAGGGGATTTCAGGCGAGTAGTCCATTTTACAAAGCTAGTAAAAGTGGCTTTTTACAAGGTTCTGAGTAGTAGCATCACAACGTTAAATTTAAGGGAAAGCGCTAAGCGCCTAGAAACCGCACAGGGCCTGGAGAATGAAAAGGCAATCAAATTTGATCGGAGAAAGGGAAGAGTAGGCTTAGATTCCTTTAGTAAAGCGTATTTTATTTGCATTAGAGCACACCACTCCCAACTGAACAGCCTTAAAAGTACACACACACACAAACACACACACACACACACACACACACACACACACACACACACACACACACACACACACACACACACACACACACGGAGGCATTTTATTCCGTATACATCAGAAGCCCATTTATCGTTTTAATTATGATTTGTTGGAATTCTGACCAACTTTCTGGTTAAGGGCTAAGAGAATTTTCCATTCCCAAGCGCTCTAAACCCATGCATGTTTAGCACTTAACAATTAAAATAATTTTAACGAGAGTACTGGATGGTACAATTTTCAGACCTTAGGGCGAGACTATCACCAGATCGACTAGGCTCTAGGATACGAAATCTTTTGAACCTCGTCTTGCATACAAACATAGGGTTGTGAAGGTTTTCACTGTTCCCCAAATCCTATTTTGCAGTATACCTTCGTTAAGGCTACGTTTCATTCAAGGTGAGGCCTCTTTTGCCTTGATAAAGTTCTCCTTGAGCGAAATTTTGCTGTCTTCGTATTGCTCATATTTGTACATACGTTGCCTTCCAGTATCAGGACAATGTTGGACCAGTTATCGCCGATGACGATGGTAAAAAAAAAGGCACTTGGTACAGAGCGCACCTCTGTGGTAGACTGTGTCGCTCTGGGTGAAGCATTTTCAAGTCATTGGCACTTGACGGAGCTCCACCCAGAGCTTTATCATTTAGTTCTCTGCATTAAGTATTAAGTTCACTAACTTTCCAACCACCAAGCAGGGTCTGTAATTGCTGTTTAGCTCCTAATCTATCAGCCTCGTCCGTGTAATGAGAAGTTACGTTATGGTAAAAGTTAATGCGCGATGATGTTTTCCTGTTTTAGTATTGCCTAGAACATAGTCGGTGTGTTTTGCAGCATAACGAATTTTATTAATGGAAGGAAACAACATGTAAACACCAGAACAGTTCCTCTAAACAGGAACAGTGCCACAGTTAAGTTCCTGGAGGTAGCCCCCAGCGCTGGCGGTAAGAGCTAGATTGGCAAAGTTTTCGTATTGAAACTTTGTCAGTAGCGGAAGCGGAACAATTATAGGAGAATTCGGCAACGGTAACTTCCCTGTTTTATCGCAACCTGTTATCTCTCCGTATCATACTGTAACACTCGTACATACTAACACCGACAAGATAATATAGATAAGATTTCGTTCGGATTTTTAACCCCGGAGGGTTAGCCATCCAGGGTAACCCAAGAAAGTCAGTGCGTCATCGATGACTGTCTAACTTACCTCCATTGGGGTCCTCAATCTTGTCCCCCAGGATGAGACCCACACCCAGGTACCTATTCGCTGCTAGGTGAACAGGACAATAGTGTAAGGAAACGTGTCGAAATGTTTCCACCCGCCGGGAATCGAACCCGGGCCCTCCGTGTGTGAAGCGGGAGCTTTAGCCACCAGGCCACCACACTTGCATCATGACATTGACACTGACATAATCAAATGTTCTGTAAGTGTCTCATTCTTCAACTTGGCCGTTTTCTAATTCATTTACCTCAACACCTAACTTTATGACATTGTCACGATATTTTCCCAGTGACATAACTCAGTCTCGCGGTACTTCGTGATGCTGTCGAGATAACGTGCTGCAGATATATAGCGGCAGCTTAGCAAGTCCACAGTGGAAGATACTTAGCCTGGTCACACTACTCGCCACATAAATTTAAACGAAAATACATTTTCATGTGATCATGAGTGATCACGTGACTTATTTAATCCGAATTACAATAAAATAGAATAAACTAATTTGAGGAAATTAGGAGGAAGAAGCCGAAACTGAGACACAGATATACTAACATGATCAGGTAATTCCCCAAGTGAAATTTATTATCCAAGTCCCTGCCGATGCCATCCTCACAGAATACAGCTTAAAACATATGGGAAACAAAGTTGTCTGGTTACCACCTGTGTAGGAACATTGCAGCCAATGTCTGTAATTAGATGACAGCCTGTCAGCTTCTAGATTATGGATAAAATTTGGTATAATGTAGTTATCCAAACGGAACAAACCACATCCTTATGTTACATTATTAGCTTTGTGATTGTGTAAAGCCAACTGGACAAACTTTTATAAAGCGATCATCATGTTTGTGTCGGCCCAGTCAGTTAGGTTACTGAAAGGCCTTCAACATGGTACAAGGCCATTAGATTCTTGTCCACCCCTTGAGGAGTGTTTCCTGACCCCCTGGGGTAGTTTTCTGACCCCAGGGGTTAAAATGCCATAGCCACATTTCCCAACTAATCGGCTCCGCTTTATATATGTATACTCAATTTTTTATCCTTCTATTCTTCCCTTTTTCCAAACAACTATTCTCTTCCTTCCAAACTCCTTTCTCTTCCATCCCATCCTTCCACCCTCTCTTCTTCTCGCCCCCTTCTTCCCTGGGTTTTTTCCTTCCTCTTTTCCTCCACCTTCCCTAGTTTATTTTTCTCTTCATCACTTAGTACTTCTGATAAACTTTTTTTCTCAAACTTTATTCCTCGCTTGTCTCCATCACTGCTGCCTCTCCTTCACCGCTGCCTCTACCTCACTGCTGCCTCTACCTCACTGCTGCCGCTCCCTCACTGATGCCTCTCCCTCACCGCTCCCTCACTGCTGCCTCTCCCTCACCCCTCCTTCACTGCCTCTCACGGTCGTGTAAATATTCCTGATGTTCCTTTGTATTTCATTATCCAGGACTGCCTCGTGTGTCTATCTTCGTCATCACTGATGAGTATCTCCTTGATCCTCTATCTCTCTCTCTCTCATTTCAAGCCAGATATTGGAGGGATATAGTCATTTTATATATATATATATATATAGGGATCCCAGGGCAGCTAGTTTTCTGTTCCAGCGACTCAGTGCGGCTGTTCAGAGGGGTAATGCCTGCTGTATTTTGGGCACGCGCCCCAGCTCTGAAGAGCTGGATGAGATTTTCGCATTATAATCAGTGACAAACACGTAACAATATGTACAAGACATGTATCTCTCACATCTCGTGTACTGTATATGCCATCTTCATATCAACAATGTACTTAAATGTTTTGTACCATATTATGTTGTAAAATGTACCTATTGGTAATATATATATATATATATATATATATATATATATATATATATAACGTCGTGCCGAATAGGTAAAACTTGAGATTTTGGCTTAAATAGCAACGCTCTTCTTGCTGAATAAGGCAAGCAAAAATTCGTGTATGCAGTAATTTCTCAAAATTCATTATAAACCTAACGAAAAAATATATTTAGTTGGATTATGCTAAATTAAATGGCGCTTGTTATAATAAGGTTAGGTAAGTTTCCTAAGGTACTTTTGGTATAAAATTATTAATTTTCGCACTAACATATATGAAAAAACATGTATCTTGAAACATATAAGAGAAAGTTTTAGAAAGAACTTAATTTTAAATAAGTTCTTGCTAATTGACCAGTTTTACCTATTCGGCACGGTATAATATATATATATATATAATATATATATTTTATATATATATATATATATATATATATATATATATTAATGTCGTGCCGAATATGTAAAACTGGTCAATTAGCAAGAACTCATTTAAAATTAAGTCCTTTCTAAAATTTTCTCTTACACGTTTAAAGATATATTTTTTTCATTAATGTTGATGTAAAAATTTATAATTTGCACCAAAAGGAACTTAGAAAAACTTACCTAACCTTATTATAACAAGAACAATTTATTTTAGCCTAACCCAACTAAATATATTTTAGATTTGTTTACAATAATTTAATACTAAACAAACACAGTGAAATATATTTTTTTAGTTAGGTTCAGAATGATTTTGGCGAAATTATTGCATACACAAATTTTCACTTGTCCTATATGGCAAGATGAACGTTGCTATTTAAGCCAAGATCGCAAGTTCTGCCTGTTCGGCACGACATTATATATATATATATATATATATATATATATATATATGTGTGTGTGTGTGTGTTCAGGTGTTGTGTTTAACTATCTATCCATTCTCACTGTACTTGTCTAAGTGCATCATCATACTGTATCTGCATCGTGTCGATTCATTGCTCCTCGCCGAGCCTGGTTCCATCGTCACTTTGTTAGTTGTGTATAACACAAGCCATAGAATATCTAAATATTTTAGCTGTGAA